TTTTGTCCCTTTTTGCGTTCAAAAAAATGTGGATAAATGATATTTGCAACAGATAGAACAAATGAGGGGCAGCCACAGGAAACCCGTGGTGATGATAATCAAACCAGGTACTGGCGGGAAGTAGGGTTAGGTTTAGGGTTAGGGTTAGTAAATTGTTTTAACCCAATTTCCCTTTTTCTCCGGAATTTCCGAGTTCACCACCGTTAGGGTTGGGTTTAGGTTTAGGGTTAATAAATTCTTTTAACCCCATTTCCATTTTCCCCGGGATTTCCAAGTTCACCACCGTTAGTGTTAGGGTTGGAGTTTAAAACCCCTAGTTTTAGGGTTAGGGTTAGGCTTAGGGTTTACATTTAGGGTTAATAAATTCTTTTAACCCCATTTCCCTTTTCCAGGGATTTCCGAGTTTGCTGCCATTAGGGTTAGGGTGGGGTTAGTAAATTGTTTTAACTCAATTTCTCTTTTTCTGAGGAATTTCCAAATTCGCCGCCATTAGGGTCAGGGTTAGGGTTTCGTTTTGGTTTTGGATTAGGTTTAGTGTTAGGTTTACATTTAGGGTTATTAAAATCTTTTAACCCCAATTCCCATTTTCCAGGAATTTCTGAGTTTGCCACCATTAGTGTTAGGTTTAGGGTTAGGTTTAAGGCTACGGCTGGGTTAGGTTTAGGGTTATTAAATTGTTTTAACCAATTCCCATTTTCCCAGGGATTTCCGAGTTCGCCGCTGTTAGAGTCAGGGTTAGGGTTTAGGTTTAGGTTTAGGTTTCGGCTTTAGGTTTTGAGTTATTCAATTCTTTTAACCCCATTTCCCTTTCCCAGGGATTTCCGAGTTCGCCGCCTCTCCGGATAAAGTCAGCGATTACATTTCCCCTCTGCTGAGCTTCGCCGCCGAGCACGTGCCCCGCTCCAAACACAAAGAGACCCCTCTGTACATCCTGTGCACCGCAGGCATGAGGATCCTGCCCGAGAGGTCTCTCCTGCCTTTGATTTTCATTTTTTAGGGGAGTTTTCTTATGTTTTGGGGATTTTTTTTTGGTTTTTTGGTGTTTTTTTGGGGTGTTTTTTAACCCTTCCCCACCGCACAAAGAGACCGTTCTGTACATCCTGTGCACCACGGGGATGAGGATCCTGCCCGAGAGGACTCTCCTGCCTTCTATTTTCTTATTTGGGGTTTTTTTGGGGTTTTTTTTTCTATTTTTTGGGATTTTTTGGGGGATTTCTTTGGTGGTTTTTAGTCTTCCCCATGGCACAAGGAAACCCCTCTGTGCATCCTGTGCACTGCAGGCATGAGGATCCTGCCCGACAGGTCACTTCTGCCTTTTATTTCCATTGTTTTTGGGTTTTTTGGAGGTTTTTTTTAATGTTTTGGGGGATTTTTGGGTTTTTTTGTGATTTTTTGAAGTTTTTGAGGGATTTTTGGGGTGGTTTTAAGTCTTCCCCATGGCACAAGGAAACCCCTCTGTACATCCTGTGAACTGCGGGATGAGGATCCTGCCCAAGGTCAGCTCCTGCCGTTTATTTCCAATTTTTTTTTGATTCTTTGGGGTCTTTTTAGAATTTTTGGGTTCTTTAGGGATTTTTGGGGGGATTTTTCAGGGTTTCTTGGGGATTTTTTTTGGTTTTTGGGGATTTTACGGTTATTTTTTCGGGGATTTTTTGGGTTTTTTTTGGGAATATTTTTATTCTTTGAGGGGTGGTTTTTTGTTACTTATTTTAATTTTTTGGGGTTTTTTTTTTTTTTTTTTTTATTATTATTTTTTTAACTTTTTAAGGATTTTTGGGGCAGTTTTTAACCCTTGCTGTCAATTTTGCAGCCAGCAGAAAGCCATCCTGGAGGATCTGCTCACCGACATCCCCGTGCACTTCGATTTCCTCTTCTCCGACTCCCACGCTGAGGTGATTTCGGGCAAGCAGGAAGGTAGGAGGGCTTAAAAAAATATTTAGGATTTTTTTTTAGGAATTTTTAGGAATTTTTAGGAATTTTTAGGAATTTCTAGGAATTTTTTTGGATT